AAAGTGGTGTATGTAGTTTCTTGTGATTGATTTATTCTTATAAAGACTCGATAAGAATTGAATAGTACGCAGTTAAAGATAAACATTGCAGCTTCTTATGCCATATTCTTGTCTTCCGAAATATACAATAAATTTTAAATATTGGTCTATAACATCAACGTTTTTCATTTATTTATTATAATCAGTAATATTTGTTGCTTTATTTACACTTTTATTTTTGTAATTGTTCCACGTTCGTAACAAAATGTATAAAATAATCAATTAGTTTCCGAACTTTGAATAGCCTCTTTGTGTTATATGAGTCTCTTCAACAGGATTTGAAAAATGCAGATATCGCCTAATTTATTAAAATCTACACCGAGACATTGTGTTATAAAAAATTGAAGTATTTATCACTGGATCCCTGGGCCAGTATTCAAGAAAGTTATTTTTTTGTACTTGATGCAATTTGACCTATCGTGTCATTCGTAATAGAAAGCAATACGCATTTTGACGCGGTACCATGTCATTTGTTGTTACGGTGTTTTTGAAACAATTCTTAATTTTGGCTATTCGCCATGCGACTTCTTCCTGTGACCATACATATGTGTACATTTAAAGCAGACATATTGTAGGCGAAAACGTACTAAGAAAAGTGGTAATGAAAAATTAAAATCGATTTGAAACAATGTTTATATATAATTAGGTTTCCAACTTTATTTAGCAATGATTGAGAAATATGAAGTTACAAATGTGTTCTGGTTCTTTTCATCTGCATGATTGAATTTATAATTTGTCCCACGTTCACCACCAACCACCTCTTCCGACCCATCCTCTTCCTCCCCAACCCCAACCAGCTCCTTTCCATCCATTCCAGCCATTCCTCCAACCATAACGCCACGGTGCAGAATACCTTAAAAACAGTAATGTGCAAAATGCATTAAATAAATATATATTTACTATATATGTAATAATAATATTAATAATAATATTAATATAATATATAATTATAATATATAATTATTATTATATTAATAATATTAATATAATAATATTAATTATATATATAATTCTAACTATTTATAACTAAATATAAATTAAGCGCATATTTAAATACATCTCAATAGATAGAAAACTAACACATTCTTAAAACTCCAATTTCGATCGAAAGTACCAAATTTTAATAAAAAAGTTAATAACAAAACAAAGAGAAACAAATAACTACGCGTATATCGTCGCTGTATTTTTTACCAATAGAAATAGCAAGTAGTAGGTATATTTTGATATACATTAGTTTTTTCTGAAAATGAAGTTCGACATACAACATTTTGTTTTACATTTTATATTTGTTACTAACAATATTATATATTTTTATAAACAATGTGATATTTATCTACTCGCACCAATTAAAAAGATCTATTATTTGAATTGATGTCTTCATCATTACATATTATCATCTGTATTGTTTACGTTTCTTATTATTTATTATCTGAATAAAACATACCCCCAACTGGATGGCTCAGCTTCTAAATCGTTCGGTGCATTTACGGCTGGTGGTTCATTTTCTGGACGGCCAGGATCTACTTGTTCTTCCAACGACGCTACCAAAACCACCATGAAGAGGAGAACAACCTTATTACAAAAGGATACATATTATTCTATTTAATTGGATACTTTTACAACTGTGTAAGGTAGATTTATATTATTTGATAATATTTATATTATATGCATAATAATATAAAATAATTTTTTTATGGACGTTACTATACAAAATCAGATTAACTAAGAAGATGCACGTATTAAAACAATTTTAAACAACTGACTAAATGAATTACATAATCACAAAAATGATAAAAAGAACACCACTGAAAATTTCAATCTAAATTGATTTTCTAAGTTGAATCACTTTCCTCGATTAACTTTTCGGATTTTTCTAGAATGATTATAAAATTAATTTGGTACACATAGGTATATACAGAAGATCGGTGAAAAGTGTTAAATAAATGTTTTGATTTTATCTAGTTTCCGTACTCGCTGACTGCGGTAAATGTGTAAAAGAATATGAAAAAGAAAAATTATAGAAAATTTTCTCGTCAAAATGTGACATGTAGCAGTGAACAAATTGTGAAATCTCGGGGGTTTGCTAACTCACCAAGTGCACCGGTCGCAACATTCTGACTGTGAGAACTGAGTTCTGATCGGTCAAGGCGGGATTTATATATGCGCCTTGACCACAAAGAGTTGCGGAGGATCACTGAGAACGTGCCTGAGCTTCTGAATACATTAAAAGAGCAGCATCTTTTTGCTTTTATAATTTCCAAATAAGAACAACTTTGTTTGTCAGTCGGTCGCATCATTTTATACGATCCTTCAAAAGTTTCCATCTGCAATCATTGTCCGAAGTAATTCTTGTTTGAGTTATTTACAATTAGTTGTAAATTTCTTCTAAATTTCGAATTTATTCAACAAGTTTATGGACTATGTAGTATTTGGAGTTTGTATCTGGAGAGTAGTATCTTGGATTATAACGAATTATTTGATTTACAAAGTATATTTCTTGAAATAAAACTTTGCGTACAGAAGTAACATAATTTTGAATTTCTAAGGGGGCGATCGTAGGTGCATTGTATATTGGGAAATATTGTTCTAAAATGTCGTAAAGCAATATTTATAGTATAAGTATTGTTTAAAAAAACTCAATTTACTATTCGTTGACAATGTAATTTATAACACACTAATATGATTGAGTTAAATGATAGTGTGTACTCGTAATTATAATATCATCGTTATAGCTGTGATAAAATAATGTAATATTTTATTTTAAACAATGTATATATAAGCACGTTTTCATTTGTTTATTGTATTCTGCTTCATTTACCGGAGTAGCAAAACATTAATACGATAAATAAGAAATAATACCAAAATGATTACGCGATGTTCAAGTTTGAAATTTAATAAAGAAAAGAAAATCGCCACTTTCAACTTTAACAAACATTTTTTTCTAAATTGTTTTAAACATACTCAGGGTCAATATATTAAGCGAATACGCGCCAGATTTCAAGGTAGGCTGGTTACATTCCAGCTTTGTTCAGTCAAACTCGTTTGTTTTTTTAAGGGTGGTGGAAGATATGTATAACTATGCTTTTTCTGACAGCACATAAAAATTGTCTATGGGTGATTCTGCATAAAATATATAATGAATCCCTAATGATCTTCTCATTTTCGAATAGTATACTCTCATCTCATCGAACCGACGAAAAACCAAAATGGTGATGGAAACAAAGAACTGAAAATAATTCAATATGCGTTAGATATTTTAAGAAATAGATTTAAATCCGCCATTGTTATGATTCACCGAAAACATTTCTCTGTTCACTTCGTTAAATTAAGTGACACATTTTCGCTAATGATGCCCACAAAATCGAAATCAACTCTGCGTTCTATTTCGAAATAAAAACAGTTTTCTGAAAGACGGAAAAATACCATGTGTACTATTTCGAATATTTGACAAACAGTAGAATCACCCTGTACATTGCAGTGTACGTAAAATACGTTCTAAAAGAAAAATCAACGGTCAGTCTCAAGGATGGACATTTTTCCTCATTGAATTTTATTACGCAGTGCAGCCACAACAATTTTGTATGCCCCCAAAATGTATATGGAAAATATATTTGGAAAAGTTGTGTGTGTTTGTTAATATGTGTTTAATTATTTACGGTTCACGGCTTAATTTGCCGTATTTTAAAATACATTTTTTAAAAGTTTATTATTTGATTAAGTATATTCGCAAATATGTCCTTAATCAAATTATAAGTAGACTTATAAAGATTAGAAGAATCGGCGAACATTGTTATGTTATTCTCAACTTATTAAAATCATCAAGAGTAGAAATGCATTTTTATTAAACTCATGCTTCGTATAATCGATGCAAATAATTTTTATTTTACTTAAAGATCCGTAGTCTAATTTTTTGTTATTGAATATTGGTTTGCATAAATATTGGTTGATAGTGATCCTGTACACAATGAGTTTAGCCATTTTGTTTGGTATTGGACGATACATCTTTTTGTAATACTACAATGAAACAATTTTCTTCAACATTTTTTAATTTAATCTGAAAATTAAGAGTCCCAAACAAAACACAACTCTACCGCACAATATAACGGACCCTTTTTATAAGAGGGAATCCCAGACCGCCTTCATACTGCATATACAGGGTGCCTCATCCGAAGGTGCGATACAAGTCGTGACGATACAAAATATATTTTCTGAATTTATTGCGTTTATTTGCGATTACGCTATAAAGAATATTTTTGTGTCTGTATGTTAATGACACGACGTTGTAGTAACCGTTGGCAATACTATGCGAACTGTGAATATTCGAATGTATACATATTATAGGTGTAAATATGTGTCCTCCATCTACAAGTATTTAAAAAACGTTATGCTAAGTCACTGACATCTTGGAACGTATTTCAATCTCAACTACAATATACAAGGAAAAATATCGGTAAGTTGAATACTTTGAAAATATTTTAATACAAGAATATCGTTTACAGCACGCTCTTCGTTTTACATTATTCAAAATCTATATAAAATATATTTTATACGTTAGAATAAAAGGTGATGTGTATTTACTTAGGTGATTATCTTAACGTGGATCACCCTGTATAACGGTTGAGAAAACAACAAGGCAGGTTTGTTTTCGTTGAAGAAAATAAAATAGTTTCGCAGAAGACCGGGTACCATCAGTGATCCTCAATGCTATCATTTCACTTGTGTTCACCGCAGTGTATCGACATTACACATTTGTAAGTTTTATACATAGCTGTTGTCACTTTGTTTTAACAACCGCTGAAGATGTTCCAACAGTAAACATTAATGATTGTTGCAGAGAACAGGAATCGACTGTTGACATTGAGGATCACTGACGACGTTGCGTCTCTTGCAGAATTATTTTATTTTCTCAATCGAATATAAAAACTATTTTATGATTGCTTTAATGGTTTCTATATGGAGGAAGGTCGGCTCTGTTGAACGGTGTAGTTCGATGCTGCCTTAGAACTTTACTTTTAAAAAAATATAAAAGTGTACCTGACAAAATTGACGAGTTCATTGTGCTCGTTTGCCTAAAATATTGTTTAAAAACGTTGAAATATTTACAATGTTTTGGAAAGCTATATCAGAGTCCTGGATGAAACCATTTTCTGTAAATAACATTTATATAGCTTTTACGATTGAAATACAAAAAAAAAAAATTGTGAAAGTCGAAAATTTATCTTTCGTCGAGATTGATGTTCAGATTTATATACAGCCCATCAAAGAGTCGAACGTTGGATTTAACGAGACAGAAAACGAGGATCTGATATTTCTGCGTAAAAAACTATTTCCAATTTTATATTGAAATCGACGATTCCACTATATATAAATGGCAGAATAATTTATTCTAAATTCTGTTATTTTTGGATTTATATTCATCAGTAAATGCAGCAAAAAGAAATAGAATAAAATAGATACATATAAATCTTTAGCTACCAATATTTGTTTCGACAAAAGTTTGAAAGAGGATATTGACCCGAAAAAATGATAAATTCTTCTCGTTGAACATCTGTGGCAGTGGTAGCGAGATAAGAAAGACGAGCAAGAAAAATTAAAGCGAAAAGAGATTTATACGAGGAAGGTGTGAAATGCTTATCAAACTAATGAAAATAAGGAAAAAACAGCGGAAGGTGAGAGAACTGTACAAAGGAAAAAGATTATTTGTAAAAAGAAAATAATCGAAAATGAAATAAAACGCTAAATGAGATCAGTAGAAAACATGTCATTTTTATAAACAATGATATATAATTGTAGATTAATAAATTATGATGTCCTAATTTAAATCGTATTGGTTTTAT